AGCTCCTGCCCTCTGGAATGACCTACCCCCCGACCTACGTACAACTACGGACCTGCGCCTCTTCCGCCGAGCCTTGAAAACCCATCTATTCCATGCGGCCGGCCTGGCGTAGTTTTGATTGGGCTTTGCTAGGGGTTTTATATGGGGTATTTTAGAGCAGGCTTTTTATTCAATATTTATTGTGATTTTATTATTGCCTCTTCACCGCCCTGAGTCCCGTAAGGGAGATAGGGTGGTATATAAATTTAAATAATAAATAAATAAATAATCTCAGTTATCAACATGCTTACTTTTTTTTTTTTTAACCACCATCAACATACCATCTCCGAGCTCTCCCTTTTTTAAAATTGACTGAGACATACAAGTGCTGAATTTTTCATCTCTGGGAAATAAACGTACATTATCAGATGGAACGTAGGCTGCTGGAAACTTCATACAGATGCATTTATAGATACAGAATAAGAGTTGTAGAATGGTGACTATAGGTGACATAAACAGACCAATTTTGTTATCAGAAAATTTATGCAGAAAAATATTAGAATGGGGAGGGATGACAAGGAGACAATATTTCATAGGAGAACCAGAAACAAGAAGTTGCCTCATTTCTAGACTGACACTTTTCTTCTGGGCCTAGGTTGTATTTTGTTTGTTTTGTTTTCAAATGTGCTGTTTCCATCAAAGTTAGGCTAAAAACAGTCCAATTACTTGAATATTGTTAATATATTGAACTTCTACTTTGAACTAATAGATAGAAACCTAAACTTTATTTGGTGTCCGGCCTTAAGAAGAGCAAAGATGGGTAGATCAGCTCAGCATGTTATAAGCACCCATAGGAGAGTTGTGCAGTTATGAAAGTAATTTCTCTCTCTCTCTTTCCTAGGTGACAGTAGGTGGAGAAGAATGGCACTATATAGCTACACAAGGACCGTTGCCACAAACATGCCATGATTTCTGGCAAATGGTGTGGGAGGAAGGAGTCAATGTGATAGCCATGGTGACAGCAGAAGAGGTATGTAACAGGACAGGAAACATCTGCAGTGAAACACAAACAGAAGCTTCCCAGCCAGGAAAAGGTTTTTCAAAGGAGATAGACTAGCTGCATTTGAAATCAGGCTGAGCCGTGGTTAAGTGAAGTGTTAAAAGCTCTGGCCATTTCCCAGGCTCACATGTTCTCCTCACTTCCTCTCATGAAGCCAAGAAAACGAGTTAGGAAACTTTCTCTTCCAGAAAAGGTGAACTGTGAGATCCATAAAAGCCTTAGGCATGTTCTCTCTCCTCTATCCAGTGATCTCCCAAGGAGTTACAAAAGTGTCATTTCGAATGTGACAGAAGGAAGAGAATTTTAAATACATACTGGAGAGTAACCATAATCATTACACAAATAGCAGTTAAGGTATCAACAGTATGAAACAATAAGCCATTGAGAAACATGGCTAAATATGGAAATGAACCCAGGACATGTTATTTCTAAGTTAACACTAACTATTACCCAACAGAGATTTCAAAATCATCCTAGTAACACTGGGGCTGAGTAAGATCAATTTATATCTTGCCCGGTATTCTCATTATATAGAATATCTGATGACATAAAGATCTCATTATATAGAATATCTGATGACATAAATAGCAAAGAATCAAATTTGGAACAGGGAAGAGAGGGGCGGGGAAAGAAGAGCTGTTAGTTCTCTAAACATAACACAAAAACTCTGTCTGTTTATGGCAATAATAAATCCTATCAAATCGGGTAGGCAATTTACAAATTGAGTTTTTCTTGGTTCCACCTACTTCTTGGTGTTTTGATGAGAATAAAATAAAGGAAGATTCCAATATAACGTACTGTTTGCTTCTGGAGACAAAGGGGTATATAAAATAATAAAACAACTACACAGCCTTGCAATTAGCTATGCTAGTATAGACTGATGGGGGTTGCAGAAGAAACCAACTGAAAGTCAAGTGGCTTACTGATAACTTGAACTGGCCAGTGGCCACATTAATTTTAATACAAACACATACACAACACACACACACAAGATGTTTTGACAACCAAGTAAGAAAATACAAGGAGAAGAATTTTGTATTTACTACATTTATTACATATATATTATTTTTTATTGTAAGCTGCCCAAAGTCAATGGGATCCCATATATATCTTATATATATATATAAATAAAATGTAAATGTTCATTTGTTCAAAATCTTAAATCTCCGAAAGTTCTTCACCGATTGCTTTGAAATTTTGACACAACGTTGCATTCGAATACGCACGTGTTTTGATATACCTACTATTATATAGATGTCACACCTGTGACAGGTAAAAACATGCTTTTTTTGAAAAACAGCTCCATCTGTTGGACGTAAATTTAACCAGACTGAGCCACAGCAACGCGTGGCCGGGTACAGCTAGTATACTGTATATATATAAAGGGGCTCCCATTGACTTTGGCCAGCTTACAATAAAAAAGAAAAAAAATACAAAGAACAAAAACAAAACGTGAGCAATCCAGAAACTGCATAAAACCAAACCAAGCAACCCACCCCCCACCCCAAACCAAAACTATTAACTAAGGTCAACTTTCAATCAGAGCTTGATCTTTAGTAGCTTCCTGAACAGCATTAGGCTGGGAGCCATCCCAGCAGATAACCTGGAAGAAGAAAGCAGATTTCTAAGTTCCACAAGATCACACTGTTTGATAAATGAAACACAAAGATTGATCAGAAGTGTGCTTACTATACCCATTGAAAAAGAGAAGATTCTGTCCATTTTCTTGGGACAGGCAAAAACAACCCTATAACAGGTGATCTCTCAAATAACTAGGCTCTATGCCACAAATTTAATTCCTTTTCCATTTTTTTTTCCAAATCTTGAAACATGTCATCCTCTGTGGATTTGTTCTCTCTCTTTTGATCAGCTTGTCCTCTGTTATAGCAGGAACTGTTCTGCGGCAGGCCCGGGTTTTATCCTACAATACCCTTGAGGGATGGGTGCCTGAGTGATTATGCATGTGTGATTTTTGTGCTGTAGGAAAGTCTCTCTGAAATAACGTGCTTGTCTTTGCTGGCCCTTTACTCTTCAGTTTTGTTTTGTTTTAAATCCTTTGAACTTCTGCCTGGGATGACTCAACCATTACAACCTTGTTTGTAACATTCTAGCTCCATTAGAAGGTTGTAGCATGCCAAACAAAGCAAACAGAATTCCAGCGAATTCTGAGAATACAAAGCCGCTCTTATTTGAAAAGAACGACATTCTCAGCTCATCCAAGGCCACCTTTGCGTACTGGAATCCTTATCAGCTGCAAGGAGACCAGAAGCTGTTGTTCCTGTATAAAAGTATCAAGTGGGGGGGGGAGAGAAATGTCTGCTGTTCTATGCCAAGCAAAACAGATAATCCCCAAACTGTACGTTGCATTGCAAAACTGGCACGCACCAGCAACCAGCAGTCTGAATCCAGTTCAGATGCATGGATTTTACAGGCATAGAGGGTCAGCTGTTCTCGATCATTCCTATTTTAAACATTTACAGCTATCAGCTGTTCAGAAGGGGGAGCAAGAGTCCATTAAATACACCGTTACAGAATAATTGGGCCAGGGAAAAAGTTGCTTCCTAAGCAGCCACAGAAAGAGAACAGGGCAATCTTATGACCCAAACTGTGATTGTGTGTGTGTGTGTGTGTGTGTGTGTGTGTGTGATATATATATACAAAAATGCAATCTTAGGGATATGGAGCAATCCAGGAGAATTTGAATCATTCTCTGAGTATCCTTATACCTGTTCCTTAATTTCTTTGGCTACTCTTGGACTACTCCTGCAAAACTCTCCAGATATTTCTCACAGCCTCCTGAATGGCAATAGGTACATGGCATGACACACAGACAGGGGATCAGTTTGCATTGTTGACTTTTCAGACTCTGAACATCTTGCATGCTCATGACATAAAGTGCGCTTGACCTAGAGTTCTTGATTTACCCTATAAAGCTATTTTATTTAGATTTTTGGTGGATTTTTTTTAGAGTTGTTTCTTAGTGTAATCTTTCTTTGATGTAAACTCTGTTGGCATTTGGAGCAAACTTGTAATGATTACTATTCTGGAAATTGTTATACTAATTTGCATTTCTGTAATATTTGCAGAGAGGGTGGGTCCTCTTCTCCAATGGTAGCATAGAAACACTGTTTGTGTATGCATGTGCATAAGTGTTCATATAATTGTTTGTTTGTTTGTTTGTTTAAAACATTTATATAGCCACCCATCTTTCAGCCAACCCTGGGTGATTCTCCACCAAAAATTTAAAGACATATACAATTATTTTAAAAACTGTAAAACACAAAGAGTTAAAACATAAAACATCATGTCCCTTGTCTAAAAGTTCATATCTGCTTCTATAATCTGTTCCTTCTCTTCCAGCCTACTGCAATTCTGTGACTTTCGTCTTCTAATACTAATGCAAACTGAACCCAAGAAAGGGAGGACTAATTGTAGTGATAATGCATTGGCTGAAAACTGTCCCGCTTCTCCCAGCCCCACTCTGTTGCTTGCACAGAGTTCCATGGAACCCTGGTCACCTCTGACGGATTATGTGCTATCAAGTCAGTGCTCACTCTCAGCGACTACATAGATTGAACTTCTCCATCCTCATTGATCTTCCAGGTTTTCCAGTGGTGCACCCACTGCCATTGTATCTGAGTCCATCCAGGTTGCTGCTGGTTGTTCTCTTCTCTTTCTTCCCACCTTTCCATTTTCCAGTATTAGAGCCTTTTCTAAAGAAATGGTCTTAGCATAATGTGTTGGAAGTAGGATAATTTGAGTCTGTTCATTTATGCCTTGAGTCAGACCTGTGAGATGAGTTGTTCAGTTATTCATATATTTGTTATCTTGGCTATCTATAATATTATCAGGAGTCTCTTTTCCAATTCCTGACGTTCAAAAGCATCAATACTTTTTCTATCTTGCTTCTTCATACACATTTATGATTATCAGGCAAGTTATTGAATACAAGGTCTATTGTGTATAGAGTGGCACATGTGTTTTATAGATCTTGGATGCTGCCAAATTAGTTGTCAGATTAGGATCATTCATTCATTTATTCAATTCCTATTTATTCAGTTCCACTGACTGTTTATACCAATTTAAAAATATTATAGGTTAGTCAGTGGTGAGACAAAAATAATAGTGATATACGCAGGATTGAATGGTTGTTTTAACTTACTTATTTATCCTATTGTTTCTCCAAAGAAGCCTGAACAGCAGATGGACTTTTCTCCATAGCTCATACTACTTGCATAACAAGGCTAAAAGAAAATAATAACCCATAGCTATCCAGTGAACTGTATGGGGAATTGAATCCAGGTGATTCTGATGTTATTCTGACATTGTAACACCTATATCATGCCAACATAGTACTTGATCTATTCTTTCGTTTCAGGGATGGTTGCTAATTTTGTTTCTGTTTTCATTTGGGGCGGTGTAGGAAAGAGGAAGAACCAAAAGCCATCGTTATTGGCCAAAACTTGGCTCAAAACATAGCTCAGCCACTTATGGAAAATTCAAAGTGACCACCAAATTCCGGACTGTTTCTGGTTGCTATGCTACAACAGGTTTGAAGGTCAAACACCTATTGTTAGGACAGGAGAAGACTGTGTGGCATTTACAGTACACCAACTGGCCAGATCATGCTTGTCCAGGAGAGCAAGACTTCCTTTGTAAGCTTTCCTACATGTAATGGCAACTGTGTTTATTGGTGCTAGGGGCAGGGAAAGGGGAGAGGGGAGAGCAAAAGAGGATTGTTAAGAAGTATTTTATAAGGAAAGATAACAGATAGATGATCATTGCATTTTCTTGATGAAATGAATCCTATTATGTTACAAAAGTAAATGCAATAATCTAACAGAATTCATTTCATCACCATAGAATACCTAAATAATGTTCTTATGTGTTTATCACAATTTCACAAGGTTTTGCTTGGCTTCTCTCAGGTCAGTGTTTTTCAAACTTAGTAACTATAAGATGCCTGGTTTTCAACTCTCAGAATTCCCAGCCAGCATGCAACTCCATTTCTGGTTGTTGAAGTTCACACATCTTAAAGTTGTCAAGTCTGAAAAATACTGTATTAGATTAACTTCAGGATTAGAGGAAAAACACACATAATAAGGATCAGCAGTTGGTTTTCTAATCTGATTCTCCCAAAGAGAGGAACTCAGATCCTACATTTCAGTATATAGAATTTATAGTTGAATTGATAACGTCACTTTAAAGAACTTATCTTGCTCAGAAGTGCTGGCCATACACAGAAGTGGTTAAGTTCTCAGAGAATCTGTAGCAAAAAATTCGACACTGAGTACATAATGTGCAGAGTTATTATGAAGTTGTGCTCCTGAGAACAGTTGCCAGGGATTGCATACAGTGGCACTTGATGGGTTGATGATCAGACTGCTCTAAAATACTTTATGTTTATGTATACACTATAACATTCTAAGAACCTCTTTGGATACAGAAGGCTCCCCATTAGAGAAGTTTGGCTCGAAAACTCTGTAAAGTAGCTGAAACAATTACATGAAGGACATAATACCCTTACTCTCTTCCCCTTCTGCATTCAGTAGCTATTAAAGCTGAATGCCTCAGTAGAACTAAGCAATCCTGTGTCTTGTTTAACATCACAGATTGTTGTTGTCAAAGAGTCTGCCTTTAGCAACTATTGTGCAGCTAAAGGCAAACCTGATGTTTGCTTGTTTTGCTAGGCCCAAAAATGATACTTGGAAGTTAAAAGTAGGGCCGAAATACTTGAAATTCAGACACAATTTGCAAGGTAAGGAAAGGGCCAGATGGATGGCCCCTTCCCATTAGATAGTGCTCCAGCAGGCATGTTTCTGGGGAAAGTTGCTGTTGTTCTGATCCCAGCCTGTTAATCGCAGGAATTGCTGTAAGTAATGTCTACAGTCATCTGCTTCTGGGACCTTGGGATTTGCAAAGGGTGGTAGAGTGTGTGTGGGTATTTTTTTAAACAGCTGATTAATTTAAAGTCCCAAGTAGTAATTGACACCCTGCTGGCACTTTGAATTCAGTGCAGTTTGCTGTCTAGAGGCCAAATAATTAGAGGTTCCTAAGAACTATAAAATATCATAATTTAAAAAGAAACTTGCTCTCCTCAACTTATTTGCCATTGTTTATGTAAAACTGCAATAGATTTGGGAAATGTAATTTTTGTTTATATTCCTACCTTGCAGCCTATTTGGAAGAGATCCAGTCGGTGCGCCGTCATACCAACAGCATTCTGGACAGCAGTAATAATAGTAACCCTCCAATTGTTGTGCACTGTAGTGCTGGAGTAGGGAGGACAGGTGTGGTTATTTTGACAGAACTTATGATTGGTTGCTTGGAACACAATGAGGTAAGCAAAAGGGTCTTCCTGAAGTTATTTATTTCTTCCTAAGAAGAGGTGCAATCCAGTGAGTGCCACTGCAGGATGAAGTAGAAATGTATGCAGGGAAAGATCCATCAATACTAAATGGGTCATCATATTACACTGTGCCACAAAAGCCACATTCTTGTGGGTCCATAAAAACTAACAAATGTGGATTATGTAAGCAGATAGTATAATCAGAATACACTTCTTATTGTGGCAGGAGCCTCAGTCAGCCATCAAAGTATCAACATAGTTATACACACTGGCCTATGCATCTGCAAACACACAGAGACATGAAAAAGAAATGAAGCCTAATGCCAGTGGAATGCAAAAAAAAAAGGGGGGGGAATCTTTTCAAAGCTCAAGATAAGTAAATTGACCATTCAGAACAACAGTCATTGGTAATAATCCAGCCATCCCAGTAAAGTATGCTAATTAACATCTGTATTAGAACAGAAAACAAATGTCTCCACTCAAATCTAAATGGGAGGAAACTTCTTAATTAGTTCTAGTTCAGCAATTTCATGGTGGAGTCTCCAAATCCCAGCTTGTAGTACAATGAGAAAAAGAGACAAATCTCCTTCTCTCCATGAATAATTTTGCATGTCCCATCCCCCACTTGCCTATTTTCAAGTTTAAAATTTTTTTTTGAAAACACACTGTCCAATATTTCTCCCTACCCTCTTAAGTGGTTTTGAAGCTTGACTTAGAAAACAAGAATATTGTCATAGATTTGTTTTTGCAGCAAATAACAAATATTAAGACTGAAAGTCAAACACTCAGCTATTAAGAGTTGGGTTAAGCCCTGCGAGTCCAAACTAGCCTGCATTTTTTTCTTGCTTAGATTGAACTATGTTCTAACTAGCTTAGCAAAGCAATTTTGGCTGCTGTTGATCAAATTCCACACCACAGCATTCTTTGGTAAGGTATGAAAGTTAACAAAGTTGAGAAGAAGAACACAGAGATCCTTATCTGTACTTGTTTGAAATCTCTAGGTGATGGGAATTGCACTGGGAAAGAACTGTGCTACTTACAATAATCATAGAAAATTAGGATGGGAGTGAATCTTGAAATCAGCTATTCCAGCCCTTTTTTCAATACAGGAGTCCACTAATAAAGTTTCATTGTTAAACAGCTCTTATCATTAGGATATTTTTCTGATGACCAATTAAAATCTGCATTATCCATTCAGCTCACTGTTTCTTGCCATCTGGAGAACACCAAACAAGTTTACTATGTCTTCAATAAGACAGTCCTTCAACTGTCCTGTTTGAAGACAACTACCCCATATCTCTGTTGTAAAACACTTGTCAAATTCAGGTACAATAACGACTTTTGAAATTTGTTCTTTATTGGAATAAATTAACTAAGGAAATATCTTTATCAGGGAAACAAAGTAACATCAGTGACCAGTGAACGCAAAAATACAAATATTGAAACCGGTTAAGAACTGTTCCTTATAAAGAACAAACTTTGCACAAGGAAACTTCCCTCCTCGTAGTAAGACTTCTATCTATAACCCCAATTATACCTCTCAATGTTTTTTTAAACTTCCAAAGCAAATATTAAGGATGGCTAAGGGCTGCAGAGGATAAGGAAATGGTGATATCCTGCTTCTGCTAATGAAAGTTCTATCAGGAAAAAAAATGTGGATGTTGAAGTTTAGATTTATGTTTTGATCATGCTAGAGGTACTCTTTGATTTTCTAAACTTGATGATACTGTTATATGAATGGCCCTGTTAATAACATAATAGTCACTGTATATACTGCTCCATTCATTCATTCATTCATTCATTCATTCATTCTACAAAAATAGTTTTGTTCTGCTCATCAACAAAAGTTATTTACGGTAGATATAATTAGAAACAAGTTCAGCTGATTGGTTTGTAACCCACTATATACCTAGAGGTTTTAGAATGGGATCTAAACAATAAGACCTATAAACCAAAACAATGAAACATAATAAAATCAGTCTTGATTTAAAACTACTGTCAGATTTTCCCTTTCTGGACATGTATACATCTACATTTCAAGACATGATGAAACAGTTTGGTGATGAAAATAGTTAAACCTATTTTACATTTAAATTTGAAATAAATTTATAGAGAAGTACTAATTTTTTGAGCATGCTCTAAAGGCTGTAAACATCCAGTCAAATATAATAATTACCTTGAAAAGGAAGGGCTGTTTGGAATGGTAAATGATAGCTTGAAGAGCATGCTAAAATGTCTGAAAGATGTACAGTGGCAGGACCACACTGAAGCCAGCTTGGTTATTTTGCTTAGACAACAATGGGCAAATATGAATTGAATCATTGAGCAAATATTTAAATTAATAAATGAATGCTTGATAATAGTTGGAGAGATCTACTGGGATCAATACTGACCTAAAGTGAGACTAAAGAGTCATCTTGTATAGTTCTCTACTGGATGATTGTTTAGAATGAGAAGTGCTTGTTTCAACATAACAAATATGCCTTTCTAACTAATCATACTGTTCTTTTAATTCTTTTCACATAAAGATAATGGCCAGTTTTATTTACTATCATATTTATGGCTTCCCCTATTTTTTCCCCCCGTTCAAAATCTCTGCCTCGTTCTCATCTCAGTTTTGATAGCCTGTGAGTCATATCTCCATCGCTAGGTAATCACTTTTGTTTTGAGACATGTTTGTTTTTTCGTGGGATGTTTATGTTCTGGTGCTCACAGACTATTTATTAAAGTAAAACAGTACAGTAGATAAAATATTCTAAAGCATCTTTATGTATTCATTTCTATTGTGCTACATAGAACCCACTGTGCAAGGGCTACCAGCACCTCTTAGCTTTTGCAGTCTTCTTCCTATATTTGTCTCACTAGTGGTAACAAGGCCATGAGTTCTAATATATCTTATTAAGCATCATTCTAATAAATTGTCTTTAGATGTCTTTTTGGACTTAACTGACACATTTTAAAAAATCAGAGTGGCCATTCTGAGGATAGTTAATTATTGGAATTATACTAGTTGCAGAATATGAGTTGAACCACTTCTTTTCTTGCTATGACACAGATAACAATCCTCTAGAACAGGGGTGTTAAACTGCCGGCCCGCAGGCAGGACGTGTCATGAGGAAAACACGTCCACCCCATTGCCGGCAATGGGGAAAAGCTCCAATACGTTGCGGGATGTCACATGACGTCGCAAGTTTGATATGTCTGCTCTAGAACAAATATTTGCTAATAATCTCCTATTATATCAACAATTCGCTCTTCTTGGGTTTTTTTCACATGAAAACTCTTCCCATGAATAAAGAAACATGTTATGTGTCTGATACAATTTGGAGCACAAGAGAAATGAAACTAAATGGATCTCTAATCCATAGGGAAGGAGAAGAATGTTGTCCAGTTTAATTTTAGGTTGATACTTCCCAAGTTGGTATGCAAACCTGAACTTAGTTGTTCTTCTGTATTTATATTTATCCTACTGTTATTCCCAGAAAAAAAAAGAAAGCCATTAACTAATATAGCAATGGAGTTTAATGGTGCAGAGTAAGAATTAAAAAGAGTGATTTGAAGAAAGCAAATGCAACAGTTGCATGAATTCTACATTATTTTGTTTAGGTCTACAATGAGAATATTGCTATGAATTTTCTCTTCCTCTTTGCAGAAAGTAGATGTTCCAGTGATGCTTCAACATCTGAGGGAACAGAGAATGTTCATGATCCAAACTATCGCACAGTATAAATTTGTCTACCAAGTCCTCATCTTATTTCTACAAAATTCCAGGCTCATTTAACATCTTCAAAAGAGACACAGCATCTTTTCATTCAGTTTATTTAGACAGCCATTTTGGTTTGGCTGAGAATCACCCTTCTACAAAGCTTCTTGCTTTGCGGTATTTTGCGACACCTGATCAAAATTGCCTCAATGATAAGGACACTTTGTTCTTCTTGCAGATGATTTTATATGAGATAATTTATTTTTTTTTAATGATGTGTGAACTTTCTTAATTGGTGGAACATGGGGGTGTCCTTAAAATGATAGAACCACATTTGACACATCTCTTCATTATAATCTGTCTTTAGGATAGAAAATAATCCTATCTGGAGATGTTCTCTTGACCATTGCATTTCTATATGACATGCAAGGCAGCTTTGCTATTTTATTGTATTCTATTTTATTTTTGTGAAAAGAGTATTTAGCAATCTGTTTTCAGGGTTGTGCACATAGAAGAAAAACCAACTTAAAAATGTATTTTTGACTTTTGTTCAAATTTAAAAGCAGATATATGTCTATAATATTATTGAAAAGGAACAAATGTTTGCCCTCTATGATATATGCAGTGCCTTACAGAATAGCAGTGGGATTTCCAATAAACTCAAGATCCCAAGTGTTCAGTACAAAGCAAGTATGATCATAGTACCTTGATGATGGGTAATAGCAATATTTAAAGCTATAAAATAGCTGAAATACTGGAATAAGATCTATTCTAAGAGGCTTTTTTAGGGTCCGAGCGAGATCTAATCAATCCTAAGTCCTACAGTTGATGCTGTATCTTGAGTCTAGAAATTGCCCTGCACATGATGTGAAATACCCAGTTCAGGGGCGTTTTTCAAGTCAGATTATTCTTTGAATCATACAGAGTAAATCTGAAGATCTTTTTCTGTTGGTGGCCATATTTTGGTGGGAATATTCTGTTGGTGCATGCTGAAAGTTGTAGAGTCACCCTTTCTGTGACTTCCTTTCTAGTCTCTCTCTTTCTAAAGGAGCGGTATATATGGGGAAGGGTTGTGTAGCTCTTTTTAGAAATCTTACTAGGTAACATGCATATAGATTTTGAGGTTAATTCTAATAAGTCAATTACTACCTTTAGCCTAGGACAGCAGGTATAAGGACATGACAGTTCAAAGTGTTTTAAAAACATCAATTTAAATGAATAGGAAATGCCGACTGTTACTGATTTAGTATTGTTTGCCAAAGAGAATATTCTAATGGTTTGGGTATGTGCCCTAAGTGTCTTTAGGTTCTAAAACCCCTGTAGGGGTTTTAGACACTTTGTGTCCTAAGTGTCTACAGGCTTTGTTGTATGTCTGCAATCCATCCCTTGGATTCACAAATAATTTTTAATCATCTCCACATAATATAATAACTTTGTTGGATTAGACTGTTGGTTTATTGCCCCTGAAAAATCAGGTTAGGAACAGATTGTCACGGACAAAATCTATGTTGTCGCTAGGAATTGACAGTGACTTGATGGTACATAATCATTGGCCCATTTTTCTCAGCCGTGTTCACTCTGATTTGCTGTTGCTCTCCAAGGTCCTGATTCAGAATATTTCCGTTCCCACAGAACAATATGATTTGCCCATCCATCTGACTATCATAGCCAGTTTTAATATTGCTTTTACAAATAATAATCCTGTGTTGCTTTAAAAAAATACTTTTGATTCCTTCCCACCCCCCACCCCCCCAATTTCTAAATTAGATAAGAGTGTTAAAGCTGATATCCGTAGGACGGATTACAGACTTTGTGGAACTAAGCCAGATTCAAGATTTTTAACCAATCCCACATGTAAGAATAATAGGGATTTTTAAAAAAGATATGAAGTTATTTTTGTGAATAAACTATAGATTAAAGTTGAATATACATAAAAAGAGTATCAGAGCACCAGTCACACTTTCTACAGCACACTTTCTTTTAGATAAACGTCAACAGTGACATGGCAAGCAGTTTCTTGAATAGAAGAGGCATTTCCATTGTATATTAGATGGGGAAAATATCTCTTAAAATAATGTTTGACACCTGCATTTTATCTCTATCCATATTATACAGGTAATCCTTGACTTACAGCCACAGATGGGTCCAACATTTCCAAGGCAGTTATTAAGTGAATTGCACCTCATCTTAAACCTTTTTTGCCACAGTTGCTTAGTGAATCATTGAAGTTGTTAAGTGAATCATGCAGTTATTAAGTGAATCTGGCTTCCCCCATTGCTTGTTGGGAGCCGGCTGGGAAGGTTACAAACGGTGATCACATGACCCCAGAACAGTGCAACCGTCATAAATACCTGCCAGTTGCCAAGCGCCCAGATTTTGAACACATGATAGTGGGGAATGCTCCAGCAGTTGTAAGTGTGAAAAACTGTCATAAGTCATTGTTTTCAGTGCCATTGTAACTTGAAATGGTCACTAAATGAATTGTAGGAGATGAGCAGACTGAGGGAAGAGGGAATTTCTTTTGCAGCCACAAGAGATCTAAGTCCAGTCCTCCTTGAATTCAGTTGACTCTTATCTACTGCCAATTTGCTTTGACCGTTAGTAGTTCAGATTCTTGTAGAGAGCATTAGCATGCAATAAACCTGCAGTCATTTGAACCACCTTGACTCCTAATTTCTTGCACCTGACACAAATGGTTGTAAGCCGAGGGCTACTTGTACTATATTTTACATAGTGTGATATATACTTTTATTTTTAAAAAATCTGCAAGGTTATTTGTAGGGATTAAGCCTGCAGACTTGTCTATATGTTCCTGGGAGCAAGTCTCATTGATCTCAGAAGGATTTACTTCTAAATATATATGGATAGGCTTAACTTATTTCCCTGTCTTCACATGTTAAATCTAAGTCACTGATCAATTGTACTTCACCCCAATCTTGCTAAGAAAAAGACAGAATTCAAGCTACCTTCAATGTGGAAAAAGAATATATAGAGAACATCTTCTGTTGATGCTCCTTTAGAGACTCTTATTTCTTTAGTGTGCAGTTTCCAGTCCAGCATATCTTTGCCAATGCCAACATATCTCTTGTTAAATTAGCTGAAACCATTTAAAGTCTTTTAGTGGCATCTGCGTGATAATTGAACAGAGACGCTTTGTATCTGGGAAGCTGGCCAAGGAATAAACCTTGAAGCAAATTGTATTAAATTAGTTATCTCATTATAGTTTTTTGAATAATTTCCTAATGATGAATTAAGTTTGAAACCAGAGCTGTCAAGTCCCATTGCTTTATTTGGCCTGACAGGTAGGGAGTTAGAAAGAGAAAATAATCCTCTCCAAGGTCTGATTGCTCTGAGATTTAGGATGTGATCAGTATAGTCTTGGCTGTCCTAGAAGTATGCAAACCAAAAGAAATTATTTAATAAACAGGCATAATGGATACTAAAAAAGCAAGTTTTGATGAGACATTGCCAAGACTTTTTCTCACAGCGTATACCTATCTTGCACACATAATTACAAGGGAGAACTTTCTGCAGTTAAACATCAATGCCCAAGACCAAGCCACTAGTACTAATATAATAAGGAACCATTTTCACACTATGACTGTAAGGACGGTGTTAAAAAAAACTTAAAACACTTTTAAGAGTATTAAAGCAGATATTATTTTAGTTTGATTAATGTTGAACTTAATAAGCTTAATTTTAAAAAGTCTTGGTCAAATTTTAATGACCCTCATCAGCAGTAACAACAGCATCAAAAGCTTTTTTTTTGTTAATATTTGAAGAATCCAGTGTTAATTAAGTCATGCTGTAAAAACAAAACTTAACTCAAATTTGAATAGAATAACAGAGTCAGAAGGGACCTTGTAGGTCATCTAGTCCAGCTCCCTGCCCAAGCAGGAGTCCCTACACCATTTCTGATAGATGGCAGTCCAGTCTCTTCTCGAAAGCCTCCAGTGATGAAGCACCCACAACATCTGAAGGCAGTCTGTTCCATTGGTTGATTGCTCTCACTGCCAGAAAATTTCTCCTTATTTCCAGGTTGAATCTCTCCTTGATCAGTTTCTATCCGTTATTCCTTGGCTGGCCTCAGGTGCTTTGGAAAATAAGTTGACCCCCTCCTCTCTGTGACAGCCTCTCAAATATTGGAACACTGCTAGTCTCCCCTAGTCTTTCTTTTCACTAGACTAGCCATGCCCAGTTCCTGTAACAGTTCTTTATAAGTTTTAGCCTCCAGTCCCCTAATCATCTTTGTTGCTCTTCTCTGCACTTTTTCTAGAGTCTCGACATCTTTTTTATAGTGTAGAGACCAAAATTGGTTACAGTATTCTAGATGTCTTACTAGAGTGGTATTAGTACCTCACATGATCTTGATTGAACCCCTCTGTTACTGATTGTATTAATGATTTTAATGGTTTCAAGAAAGAACTTACTTCAAGGAATTTATCCAAGGATAGTTAAAAAAAAAAGCAACTGTCATTAATCTCAGAATATCATAATGCTTCAGGGGACGATGCTATAGTCCCAGTTCCTGTACTGAATAGTATAGAGAGATGAATTGCAAGCGGGCTTTAGATTAAGACACTTGTGCGCAAATGTATTAGTGAGCATCAGGTTGAAGTATGATTTTATATTCCCTTTCCTAGAGTTTACATAAATCTAATATTCACCCCAGTTCTGAGATAAAATTAACTTTCACATTAGCCTGTTGAACCAAATTTCTTGGTTTAAATTTAGTTAATTTCAGAAAAATTATAATGTCCCTCTTGTGAGTTAATATAAACAATAATTAACTATGGAATTATAGAAAATCTGTAGGCAATATTGACATATCATCGCAAGCAAATTAATGTTGTGCAGAATGACAATATCTGGCAACGTACACTTCATAATCTTTCTCCCCAACTACATAACAGAAGGATCTTATGGCCCATGAAAGCATGCATATAATGAAAGCAATTGGTTTGATAGTGCTACTCCTTAGATAGTTTCACCCTAACCTAGCATGATTTACTTTTTAAATCATCCATGCTAAAATTATTATAACATATTCTACACATTCCTATCTTACAGATAGGAAGCTTGGGTTATATAGTGTATACTGTATAATGCAGATTTTATAATAATGACATTGAAG